CCTTCTTACAAAACGAGAAGTGGAGAAACATGCTCCGTAGTAATGCTTAACAAGACAGAACCTCGGCGATCGTTGCGGATGAAAACATTCTTGCAAACATGCGCGTTAACCCTGGCCAAGTAGGTCAAGTGATACCACTCTTCACCACCCGAGTGGAAACATTAGCGGCTGATAAGCACGTGATTGCTAAGTTGCCATTGGTCCCTTTTGTAATTATCAATTTGACGCGTTTGACAGCTGGCGTCTGCATGAAAATGAGATTCAAGTCCAAGGTAACCAGAGGTTTTTCTTTCTCGCCGCTTCGCTACTCGTGTTCGCCGCTTCGCGAAAAGAAGAAAATACAAGAAAAACCTCTGGGACCAGGGTATTTAAAGTAACGTGGCGCGAAGGTTGCGCGCGTGAACAAGTAAGAGTCAAACCTTTTTCCATAGACCTTATGACATCTCCTAACTACACCTTTTCCATTTTTAAACACATTCCTAACAGTATTCATTCCCTTTTCAAATTTTGACTATTGCAGGAGCCACATTTGAGTTACACTTTGGTTTTTCCGGCCACCACGCACTGACTTCAAGCAGCAGGGACAATAACAGCTCGTAAAGTTTATTGGATACAACTGTAAGTAATTGTTAATGACTGTTAGATGAAAAAAGACGTCTGATGTAAAGTGCTATGCCTTTGTTTTTGCAATGGCTGAAAAGAAGTTAACAGTGGCAAAATCTAGGCGGCAAAGAATTTTAAACGGCTCACTGGTTTTAAAGTGAACTTCATGCAAATGGATGAAAAGAAAAAAGTCAAACCAGTTTATTTCCAATATGATAGATACAATGGATGTCAGTCGTTTCGCCTACAAGTCGTTTCGCCTACATCAAAGTCGTTTCACCTACACGACCGAAGACGTTTCGCCTACACGATCTGAGTCGATCCGCCTAAATGAAAGTCGTTTCGCCTACACTTAAGTCGAAAATATTTTGGGGAGATGAATGATCACTGCGCGAAAAGCCAAATATTCGGGCCCGAATTCATTCGAATAAGGATCGGCGCACGCCGCGTATACCGCAATGTTCTGACGTATTCGATTTCGGCTGACTCGAAATACACCCGGAATATTCTATTAGAATCCGCCCTGTTTTTCCGTATTCAAATTGTAATGTTGCATTAGATGTTCTTCGAAGATATAGTGATCATTTATGACTCGAACATTTATTACTTATGACTCGGACATTTTTCATTTTCGAATACCCCCAGTTGTTCGAGAGTTTGCGACTGGAATACGGATGCACGACGCCACTTCTGAAGTGAACGTCTTCGAATACTAATGGATACGTCAAGTATGCTCTAATTTTCGAGAATCGCACGCTATGAACACGAAAGTTATGTCGTATTTTTCACAGCCAAAGATGTCTTGCATCGTCAAGTACGGGTTTTATTCAAGTAATATACACTATCGCGTAGTTTGGTCAGACAATACGCTTGTGTTCCGAAGCGTACGACTGGAACACGAGACGCGATCATGCGAAGTATGAAACGTATTCATGTTCTAATACTGACGCATACGTGAGGTTTTAAGGTATTCTAAACGACACACTTCAAGTGTTCTGTGGTGTTCGACTGCGACTCGAGACTCATGCGAATTATGAAACGTGTTCATGTTTGAATACTGACGCATATGTGAGATTTTAAGGATATTCTAAACGACACACTTCAAGTGTTCTGTAGTGTTCGACTGGAACGCGAGACTCGTGTAAAGTATGAATTTGTTTATTTATTTTATTTATTACAATTTATGACATACAAAAACAGAAACCAAAGGATGAAATGCAAAAGAGTCAAGACCCCATATTAAAGCAGATCACCAATGGTACTAAAGTGAAAATGATGCAAATTTAAATATGGGGTAGTAATAAATATTAAATATTATAACAAGAAAAACATTCAGAGAATATATTAATCCATAAAAATATTTTTTGACTAAAGCTTTAAAAGAATTTACACTTGTAGCCTCACAAATGGAAAGGGTAAGGGAGTTCCATGTTCCCACAACTCTATGAAAATAAGTATATTTAAGAACATTCGTTCTTTCATATCTTATCTTTAATGTTATAAATAACTCATCACTGCGTCTAAACGAACAGTGATCGGTTTCCTTACAGCAATCTACATAAGGTTCAACATGGATATCAATTATCCCGTGAAGAAGTCGTTTCGCCTGCACGACCCAAGTCGTTTCGCCCACACTAAAGTCGTTTTGCCTACACTAAAGCCGTTAAGTTTCACCTACACTTAAGTCGAAAATATTTTGGGAAGATGGATGATCATGAACATCATTGCCCAGGCCACAGGTAGCAGAGGGGACGTATTTGACCGTATTTCCAGTTAAATTCATCGTAAAATTGTAGCGCGAATCGATTTGCTGTTAATTTAACAGATTTCAACAGACGCGTAACACGATGTATGTAAAGTTGAATCACGATTTTTCGAACATCCAAGGGAAACGAAAATTGGTTCGAAAAATGGCAGATTTCGAGAAATCGGGGGTAAAATTACAGCGTTTGACTGAGGAGGGGAAACGACTTTTGGTTCGAGTTATCGGGAGGTTCGAGAAATCGGGATTTCACACAGTTTGATCACGTACAGTTACTTCAGAATCAACAACAGATCGATTCTGTGCTCCCACAGGCGGACCACTCTGTGTGTGTGTGTGGTTAAAAACGAACAGAATCTACGAGCGTTATGAATAAAACCCTGAAAATTGCATATCTAAATTACACCTTGGTCTGAGTATCCCAGTACAGTTAAGTGAAACGTTAATTGACTCGTGTTTTTCGCCTTCCTGGGCCGTCTGAAGCGTCTTTTTACGAAATTACTTTTGGCCGGAGTCCGGTAAGACATACCGGTCTCCGGCCGAACTCTTAAAAGAATCAAACTTGGTCACATGACACATCTCAACGTCATCTTTTATGTAGAGGTTTCGGTTCCCGTCCCCATAGCCCTTTTCGCTTCTCTTAGCCGACGGAATCTTGGCACGAGAATAGAGGGGCTCTGGAGACATAGCATTGAGGATTTCCGAATCCTAGATTCTAAGACTTCCGGTCCTCATGCATGCAGTCGTTATGTTTCTATATAATGATGTGAAGTTTATATGAAATAATTCATATATGAACTGCGGTTGTAGATGAAAGTGAAGGATGATCATCGCGGTAATTTTTCCACTTTAAGCAATTGGAAAGAAGAAGCCTGAAAAAATCAGGGCTTCAACGGGATTCGAATCCGTGACCTCCGCGATACCGGTGCGATGCTCTACC